TATATATATATAATAAACTCTCTGTAACCATCGATTTTGTAGTGAAATATGGTGTACTACATTTCTGTCTGCCTCTTTTCTTTCTATTAAAGGGGAATTCCATATCTGTTACCCTCAGAGCCATTATAACACTCATCTGTGGAGTGGAATAGTGGAAATCCCCTCGCCTATGTATGTAATGATGATGTGCAGCTTAACATCTGACCCACACTGAATCACAGTTTGTATGGAACTGATACATGAGATCACAGATGACATTATGTTCCCATCAAATTATTGTTAAAGATGCCAAAAAATGAAATAAGTCTTTAGTCACTTCCTTTCTATACACAAATTCATCATAATGATACTCAAAGGAAAATCCCTCCTGCATTTGACTCCATGTCAAGTAGAGGGAATTTTAAGTTAACCAAGTTTAAGGATGTCTTCCACTCCGTTTATTGTTCACCTTGTCATAGACTTTACATTGACATAAATGCTCACAACAGCAAGGTCATGGTTTTGAAAATTTTATATGTCTCTTATACACACAAAAAAGCATTTGCCAAATGCAAATAAATTGATATTCTACTACATACACTGGACTCAACTGCATATGTTTAGTGGCGTATCTTTGCCCCTCTGAAACCAATATAATCAAGCAACTGATATTTTATTAGAATATATTGAGTGCTTTGGTAGCCTATGTATCAAAATGTATCAATCAATTTGTCAGTCAATGTAGCCAAATTGCTGTTATTTTAATGTAATATTTTGCTATCTTAATACACAGGACAACAGATTCTATTTCTACGTCGTCATTGGCTGACAAATCAATGTCAGCCAATCAATATCAGTGTTCCATGAAAGTTGCTAAATTTGAGTTTGATTATCATTTTTGCGTGACTTTAGTAGCTACAGTGACAGCTGATAATTTACCTCAGATCTTGAAAATATCTTAAATAAATTAATGAAAAGAACAAGAACGACTGCAAGAGACAAAAGGAAACGATGGGAACGATAGGATACCGGCAGTAGGTGGCGGCAAGTCAATAGAATTGTGTTGATGAATGAGTCATTGAGTCATTCATTCAAGCGATTCGTTCAAAATGCTGATTCGTTCAAGAGCAAACCAAATGAGTCATTGAACCATTCATTTAAACGATTCATTCAAAGACCCGGATTCATTCAGGAACGAAACACCACACTGTGCGCCTGTGCTTGGAGTCAAATAAAACAGGCCGTTTTGTGTCTAAAATGAAATCAACTTATACTCATTATTTATGAAATAGTGATGCAAAGTCCGATACATAGAAGTGCATTCCAAAAAAAACTTTTTTTGACCCCTACACCCTTCATCCGTTCGAAGCTCTTACTCCGGAGGGTAAACCCTTTGAAGGGATTAGGGATGAGCTCTTCCGAATGGAACACGGGGCCAGTTTATCCATTTTTAAGGTGCCTGGGAGGAGACGTTAAGTTCACTTAGTTTTGTCGTGGTGACGAGAAATGGATGTTGTTCCCTCAACATAGAATCTCGAGGCCACGACTTTACATCACGTCATATTATCACGTTCCCACGAGTTAGTATGTCGTGGCCACGACAAAACTAAGTGAACCGAACATGTCCCCTCTTGGTCACCATAATTTTCTACCCCTGAATGTAAAAACGGAAAATAAAGGCAATTCTTTTTTTATTTTTTTTTTTTTTGAAAAATGGTGTTCATGTATGTTTTCAATATTAAATTTAAAAAAATGAATGAACACAACGTAACACGCATTTGTGTGCTTCTTAGGTTTTCTACCAACTTTGATTATTTCATAAAATGTATGTATACATTTTATGAATATATATAAAAATAAATATATATATATATATATATATATAATGAAGTTTTTCCACAGCCATTACAGTGGTGAACATTTTTAGTTAGTAGAATAAAGAATAGGGAAACCATTTGATCGTAACTGTTTGAGTGCCTGACCTGATTGTTCATATCGAAACAAGTGAAGGGCTTGATTTCTGGGAAAATAGTGGTTACAAAGTCTTGCAAACATTTCATCACAATTTCAACGAGTAAGTGTCAGTGACTTCAAGGATGTGGAAAGACGTGTTTTCTGTGACTTCCCACTTTGAGTCAATGTTTGGACAATAACCCAACTTGACATAAACAGTTATTTTTTGTGATTATAGTCAAGTATTTATATCCTGTTTGATGTGAGTGAGAGGTTAAAGCAAGGGAATTATTTGTATTACTGTTCTGAAAGATTTTTACGTTGCTCATATTTGCACCTCAAGATTTAATTTACTTAAGTTTCATCTTTATCCTTCAGGTGGAAATGTCTTGTCTAGAAAGCTCCCTTAGTCTGCGGCTGACAGATTGTGTACGAACTGCAGCAATTTTGAGATTAAAACCATTTTTATGTCATACATCAAATTTCATTATGCAAATCCTTCACTGGAAACACGACTGGGAATTCTTTGGAAAGTGTAAAAGTGTAATTTTAATGTACACAATCCTGGAAATAATATTAAAAGACCTGGATAAAACCTGGATTTATTATTCTCGGAAGAGAAACATTGCAGTTGTGTGTCCTGATAATCCAGGAATGCCCTCCAGGCATACTGTATTGAGAGACTGGAAATGAAACAATGACACCATTATATCATATCCTTTCAATTTATTTAAGAGGGACATGATGGAAAACCAGGACAGGTAGTTTTAATAGTAGCATGCCCATGGGAACTTGTGGACTGAAGACAAGAGATGGGAGGAACAGGAAAATGTAGGGACGATGGGCTGGACGATCACCCAGAACACCCCAGCAACCGTCCAAAATACCCTAGCAACCACCTAGGAATCACACAGAACACCCTACGAATGACGTTTTTAACTGGGCCACAAAGGAGTCCTTTGGTCCACACAAAATGTTTGGGGAAAAGACATGACTTTTTTTTTTTTTGCATGATCAAAATTACTTCACATATTATTTATGTTTTTAATACATTTACCAAATTTGATATTATTATTATTCCAGTTTCAGACATGAGATTAATCAGAACTATTTTACACTGACATCCTTAGTTTTAAATAATAATAAAACATAAAAAAAAAATCATACATCTAACATTATTTGTGGATAGAAAATATACACTGTCAGTGTAATTAAGTAAATATTCAGTGGAAATATACAATATAAAAGCCAATTATTTAATATTTTAATAAAATTTTATATTTTATTGTACTGTCCTCATAATGTTAAACATTATGATTTTCTTACAACCCCCAAATAAGTTTTTACACATGAAATTATATGGCTGCCATAAAATTATTATTTATCCAGATTATTATTTTTTTATGTAAGAGCCGATGTGGACATTTATTTGTTTGTCATCTGCTTCCACTTAATTCAGCAGTATGATGTTGCAAACTGGTATTTGTTATCACATTATTTTCATTTATTATCATAATCGCAAACACACTGTAGTTTTACCGTTTACATCACTTTGTTATTCTTTTATAATATTAGAAAAAAAAACTGTAGATAATCAGAATAGGTGCTGGTAATTTTCTGTCAGGACATTAACCGTTAATTTTACAAACATTTCCTTTAACCCTAAAACAAAACACAATGCAATTTATAATTTATAAGGATTATAATGAATAATTCCTTTATATTAACACAGTATATTGGGACCTTATATACAGCTGAATCAGAAGTTCTACACATTCACATATGCACATTCACAAATAGCTTCTGCATTGGAAAAATAAGTTGGATAATATATTTGGGTGCTTGGTATCAAACGTTTTGACAACCTCTGCCCTGCAAGTTTCTTTCACATAAAACAGACATGCACTTTAGTCTGGGACTAGGCTTAAGCCTTGTCTGTGAAACCAGGGGTTTATGTATTGAGGACACAAACTGCTGCATTAAAGGGGTCATATGATGCAATTTCAATTTTTCCTTTCTATCTGCTTCGTCATGCCTAGAGCTGATCCGTGCTGGTTGCTGAGGAAATACTTCAACTTCGTGCTGTCGATCGCCGGATCGGCTTTCACCGTGGACGAAGCGGAGTCCAGCCCGGGGTCGTCACACGTGGTTGCCGCAGTCATCACAATATGGTAAGGGACGTAACATTTCCGTCAAACGCTTGAGGTATTCGGCCAATCACAATGCACTGGATAGCTGGCCAATCAGACCACACCTCGCTTTTCAGAACGATGAGCTTTGTAAAAATCGACGCATTTCAGAGGAGAAACAATAATGTACAGTATGTGGAAAATAATGTGTTTTTTGAACCTTAAACCGCAAAAACACATTTCATTACACCAAATAATGTTCTTTTTAGCAGCATCATATGACCCCTTTAATCCGTGTCTACCATTCCGCTTCATGCTTGTCAACCTCCACTAGTTTCCCTCATTAGGGGCAATAAAAACAGTCAGCAATCAAAACAATTGTGACTTAATCAGGCAGACACATTATTATCCCTGTTGGCATAATTATAACGGTTATTTGAAGGACAGCTATCCTGATGTCGTGAGGAAAGACTGAGGCATGATTAATCTAAAAGACAGTGGATATACAAAATGCTGGGGGGAAAATCAATTAAAAAAACTCTCATGTCGTCTTTTAAATATCTTGAATTTATTATCAGTATTTTGACAGTTTAATGATGCATTTTTCTCAGGCTCTTTATGGTTGTGAGGAAATAAAGCTCAGGCTCTGCTGGGGTCCTGTGCAACATTTTGAACACCAAACCTTTCTGGCAAAAATTAAACGAATCAGAAATTCTATATTGACAAAACATTTTTATGAAATAGATGGAAAGACTGTTAAAACTGTTAAGAATAATAACAGTGTATTTTCCAATAAATTACCCATGATGCTGTACAACCATATATAGTATAACAGAATAAGGGAAATAATAATAATAAACAAAATAGACAAATGAAGTGTAAAGTCAAGTTTTCAGTCCACGTGCAAGAAAGTGTCTATACATGGCGCTTTTGCAGGTTGTAAGGTAAATCAGCAGACTTTAAGACCGGGTTTCTTCATTTGATTCCTCTCGGTTCATCTGTTAATGCTTTTGGATGCTCATTGGATGTGTGACTGATGGCCATTTCAGCTTCATATCGTCCATTTCAGAGTTTCTGGTCACTGCAAGATAAAATACTGATTGAACACATGACCATAACTATATAATACAGTGCTCTGGATGAGTGATGTTCCAAAAGTGATCATATTTCTTACAATGACAAGGTTTTTTTTTTTTTAATGTAGGACTACTTACATTTTGGACACAGTATTCTTTTTTTTTTAGTTTTCCCTTTATTCAGTTCCACCACACAAAGGCACAAGGCAAACGTTGCACACACATCTCAAAGCATGCAAAACAGAACAACTACAGCAACAACAAAAAACGCAAAATGAATACAAACATATATATAAAAAATAAAATAAAATAAAAAATAACAGGATAAAAAAGTAATACAAGCATTAGGGCAGCTACATCAATTTGAAAAGCTTTAGAATTGTTATTGTTTTTATAAGCTTCTTATTTTGTGATCTCATATTAGAAAGGGTTTCAAAGTATATTTTAAGATCAGTGTTACAAAATGTAATATATGATGGTTTCTTTTGAATTACTTTTGACTTATGAATATAAAACTTTGCTAAGAAAATGAACAGATTAATAATGTAAATCTGTTTATCAGAAAAAGGTGGGTTTTGATCAAGTAAAATATCATGAGGTTCTAAATTAAGGGCTTTGTTTAATTTTTATGTTAGGTCTATTTTAAAGTCAACCCAAAATGAAATAGAAAAAGGGCAATAGAAAAATAAATGTTCAATATCTTCAACAGATATATTACAAAAGGTACATTTATCACAAACACTATGAATATATCTGCTAACAACTGCATTTACAGGATAACATCTGTGAATAATTTTGTAAAGTATTTATTTTACTTTATTATAAATTACATATTTATATGGTAACATCCAAATGCTGCGCCAAGATATACGAGGTTTAAGCCATTTTGATTTACATGGAGGATTGGATCCGACATTAAAGGAGTTTCTTATAAAACTGTTATTAAAATGTTTGTCAAAAAAGGAGAGACCATTTACAAAAAGTTGGAGATTTTGTAGGCTTGTATTATTAATATTTACATCAGAGAATTTGGTTAAAATTATTATGCCACTGGGAATAGCCTTAATTACTTTGTTAAATTATTTTTCATTTACACAAAAAGCCATATTTTGTAACAAAATTAGGGTAAGTGTATAATTGCCCATTCTTGTCAATAAGCATGTTTAAAATGAATATGTTATGCCGAACCCAATTCTCCACATACAATGACTTGTTATTATGAGTGATATTACCATTGTTCCATATAAAACACCTGCTAGGAGCAAAATTGTGTTTGTACAAAAGTGACCAGTAAAGCAATGCTTGTTTGTGATAATTGGCCAAAGCAATAGGAAGTTTACCAGTTATATCAGGACACTGCAACAAAAAAGTAATCCCCCAAGTTACATTTTTCGAATAAATGATATGGGACAATATTGAAAATACTTGTTTGATTTTTTTAAGTTTCAAAAGTTTTAATTTTTAAAAGTTGGTTGAAAATCGTAAAATTAAGAACATTTAACCCACCATCAGTTAGTTTGTTAATAAGGACACTTTTTTATTTTATGAGGTTTGTTTCTCCAGATGAAATTAAAGAGTATTTTATCCATTTGTGAGAATATATCCTTTGGGGCACTAAGTGAAGAAAGGAGATATGCTGCTCTCGAAAGACCTTCTGCCTTACTTAATAAAATTATTCCTTGAATAGAAAGATCTCTCGCCAACCATGAATTATACCTCTTTTGTATTTTTTTGATAACAGATATCAAATTTGAGTTGACATTTGCATCAGTATTTTTAGAGATTTTGATTCCCAAATAGTTTACCATGCTTTTAACAGGAATATTACATACAGTGGATAGGTACACGCTTAGATAGATTTCAATTCAATCCAGAGAATTTTGAAAAATTATTAATGATATTTAAAGCCAGAGGTACCTCAGAACTATCACCAAGAAAAATTGTTGTGTCATCAGCAAGTTGCGATATTTCAATGCGTCTTTCATGAATTGCAATACCTTTGAAGGAATGTTGATTTATCATATTACTTAAAACTTGAGCTACGACTTTTAGACACAGTATTGAGAGTCACTTTTGTCTGTTTTCAAAGGAAGCAAAAGCAATCAGCTGTTGCGTTTCCTTTCCAAATGAATCTGTTTTTTTGAACAAACAGGCTGAGTGACTGATTCAATGACTCACTCACTAAAAACAATTGTTTCATTCTGAATGTTTTGATTTAAATGATTCATAAAACCAGTTCCCTACTGGCATAACAATGCATCTTGCTTTTTAATGTTTGTTTTTGTCTCTAATGCCCAATAAGGCCGCATTTGATTTATTTGAATACATTGAAAACAGTAATATTGTGAAATATTATTACAATTTAATTTGATGTGAAGCTGAATTTCCATCATCATTACTCCAGTCTTCAGTTTCACATGATCCTTCAGAAATCATTCTAAAGGCCAATTCACACCGCACAGACAAACACCAACAGACAAGTTGGCTCCTGGATTTAGAATTTAATGAAAAATAACTGTCATGTTCACACTGCCCCAACAGACACGGTCAAATAGGGATGAGCATATCGATCCTGAAGTATCAATATATCGATACTGATGCGAGTAGCGAAAGTATCCATACTCAAAAAATATCGATACTAAGGTGTGTTTTTTATCAGTGATTTTGTTTATTTAACAAAAAATTTAATGCGCACAATATGCATTGATTGAATTGTACGAATAGCCTGTAATAGCGAATAATTCTGCTCATCTGAACACACGTAAATGATGCAAGACAGAACCAATCAATCACAGAGAGCGTTCACTCACTGCTGGCAGTGCATTCAAACAGGGCTGCGTTTTCAAAAATTATCAAAAGAAACCATTGATGCTTTTGGGAAATGCAGCCCAGAACAATGCTTATCGAGGACAGAAAAAAAAACATATATGTTTGAGTTATTTCACAATAAACAAATTGAAATTGTGGCCTATAGTTTGTGCAATTACATTTAGTTAAATTTAATGTTAAAAGTTCATATTGATCATGTTCTATTCTGTAATGTTAGTATAAATGTCAGAATAAAAAGGTTGCATTTTCTGCATGCAACAGCCTGTCACTGGCAGTCCCTTACGAAAATTAACCATGGTTTTACTAAAGTGACCGTAGTTCAACTATAGTAATATAGTATTAACCTAATAAGTTGCAATTAAGGCATATTGTATGTTAAAATGCGTTTCAAATATAAAGTTAAGTAGCTATCATTACCCACTTTACTCTTAGTAATTTAATAAATTTCATAATTTAAAAGTTCAGTTTAGAAGTATCATATTGGTATTGATATCCACGATAATGGCCTTTAAAAGTATCTGTATCGTATCGAAAACAAATATAAGTGGTATCGCCCATCCCTACCAACAAACTTCGAGTCAGAGAGAATCAAGTAAGGGGGGGAGGGGGGTGATCCTGTAACCACAATCAAAATGTTACTGTTATTAATGTCTTTGCGTGTCACTCTTTGGCTGAAAAGATGGCAAATAAAACGAAAGAGGCTGTGGATGAAGCCGTGGTTGCTGCTATGAACGGGAAGATGGGACGCCTACTTGAATTTATGCAGATAACTGCAATGGGAAGATTTACAAAGTGTTTCGGTTTGTCCAGAAACCTGCCATTTTTAGGATAAATGGCTAAGCACACCCAGCACTTACACACAGTCATGCCTCATCGTCATGGCAATGGTTCGTGGCCTGGTCAGATTACGTCAGAATTTATCGCTTGTTGGAAAATCATTTCACACAGCTCAGACCTTCCACAACCCAAACAAACGCAGACTGAACATGTTCAGTCGGGTTAAAACAAACTTTGACCAACGGCAACAGATGCCAACAGGGGTAACACACTGATCCAACAAACTCTGACAGACTGTCTGTTGGTGTTTGTTGGCGTTTGTCTGTGCGGTGTAAATTGGCCTTAATATGCTGATTTGCTGCTCAAGAAATATTTCTGAATATTGTCAATGTTCAAAACAGTTGTGCTGCTTCAAATGTTTTGGAAACCATGATCATTTCTTTCAGGATTCTTTGATGAATAAAAAGTTTAAAAGAACAGCACTAATTTGTAATAGAAATGTTCTGTAACTATATGAATGTGTTGTATATAAATAGAATAATATAATTTTTGATATACTGTCAGTTTTAAAGAATTAATTTAATTCCGACTCAGCTTCCTTGTTTAAAGGAACTTCTGTTTCACTTTTACTCACATACTACTTCAACATATTAATGTGACAAACTCTGTTCTTTCTCCTGCGATCTGGAGTAGAAATGACATAATCCGTCTCACTCAACTTTTTCTCGACACTGTAGGGGCCAGCGAATCTAGCATGCAGTGCTGAGGACGGAACGGGGAGTAAAACAAGCACTTGATCACCAGGCTGGAAGTTGCGTTTAACAGACCTTTTATCAAATCTCGACTTCATTTTAGACTGAGTACGCACAAGATGAGCTTTAGCAATGTCACAGGCACTATGCAGTCGTTCACGGAAGTTACCGACATAATCTAACAGGTTGGTGGCAAGTGGAGTTTTTGATATCAGCTGTTCCTGAAGGAGTTTTAGGGGTCCGCGAACTGTGTGACCAAACACAAGTTCAGACGGACTGAACCCTAATGATTCCTGGACAGTTTCTCGGACAGCAAACAGCAACAAAGGCAGACCTTCTACCCAGTCTTTTCCTGTACTCACACAGTATGTACGGAGCATGGACTTGAGAGTCTGATGGAAACGTTCTAACGCCCCTTGCGACTCTGGGTGATAGGCGCTAGACATCTGATGAGAAACCCCCAACTGTTTCAAAACCTGAGCAAACAGCTTTGAGGTGAAGTTGGAGCCTTGGTCAGTTTGAATGACCTTCGGTAGTCCAAACATGGAGCAGAACTTGATGATCTCTTTGACTATGATGTTAGCTCTCAGGGAACGCAGTGGAACAGCTTCTGGGAACCGTGTGGCAGCACACATCAGCGTTAGAAGATACTGGTGTCCTGTTTTTGACTTGGGCAAGGGTCCAACACAATCTAAGATCAAGCGTTCAAATGTCTCATTCGTCACTGGTATAGGATGAAGAGGAGCGGAGGGAACAGTCTGGTTGGGTTTACCCGAGACTTGACAATCATGGCAAGCTCGGCAGTAACTCACTACACTGTTCCTCAATCCAGGCCAGAAGAAGTACTTTAAGATGCGCTTATAGGTCTTCGTGATACCAAGGTGACCAGACAAGGGATGCTCATGCGCCAGCTTCAGGACCTGGGGACGGTAAGCAGAAGGTAAGACAAGTTGATATGCAGCTAACACGTCACCATTCACTTGTGGTTGACATCGTCGCATGAGTACACCATCGTCCCAATAATATGTTTTGAATGACCTTCGGTAGTGCAAACATGGAGCAGAACTTTGACTATAATGTTAGCTCTCAGGGAACGCAGTGGAACAGCTTCTGGGAACTGTGTGGCAGCACACATCAGCATTAGAAGATACTGATGTTTTTGACTTGGGCAAGGGTCCAAAGCAATCTAAAATCAAGCGTTCAAATGGCTCATGCATCACTGGTATAGGATGAAGAGGAGCGGAGGCTGGTTGGGCTTACCTGAGACTTGACAATCATGGCAAGCTCGGCAGTAACTCACTACACTGTTCCTCAATCCAGGCCAGAAGAAGTACTTTAAGATGCGCTTATAGGTCTTCGTGATACCAAGGTGACCAGACAAGGAATGCTCATGCGCCAGCTTCAGGACCTGGGGACGGTAAGCAGAAGGTAAAACGAGTTGATGTGCAGCTAACACGTCGCCATTCACTTGTGGTCGCCATCGTCGCATGAGTACACCATCATCCCAATAATATGTAACTGGCCCACCTGGAGCTTTATCCAAACTGACAGCAGCATCCTCACAGAACAACAGTGATGGATCAGTTTTCTGAGCTGCAGCGAAGTCCTCCTTCCCAACTTTTAAGGAAGTTGCAGCTGAGTCAAAGTTCATCTTTTCACAAGAAGAGGAGATCTCAGGTTTAATGAACAGTGTGCATTCCGAAATGTCTGACACAGGGTTTATAAATGAGTCAGCGAGGTTCACAACATCATCCCACTTCCGGGACTGTGCTCGAGTAACCGCACAGGCGGGAAAAACAGCAGGGAAATGAGCAGCAACATCTGGCTGTCCTGTCACCTCAGGCTTATCCACCACAATAGGACAAGGGAACACTTTACCTCCAGCCAGGTCATTTCCCAGGATGACGCTTACGCCCTCCACCGGCAGTTCAGTCCTTACTCCAATCTGAGCCGGACCTGTGACTAGATCGGATTTCAAGAAGACAGTATGCAAAGGCACTTTAACACAACCTAGTTCAATCCCTCGAACTAGTACATCCGCACCAGAGTACGTTTCAGGTGAGAAAGGCAAGACTCCCGCTAAAATAAATGACTGCGCAGCCCCCGTATCTTGGAGAATGGATACTGGTCGGCCAGGTGAGTCAGCTGAAAGAGACACAAACCCAGCTAACAGGAAGGGTTTGTAGCTGGAACTCTGGAGCTGTGGAAAGGAGTAGTCAGAGACAGAACCAGCTTGAGCGGAAGCAACACTCTTGGACTTTTCAGCAGCAGACTTCTGTTTCCATGCTTTGCAGTTGGATATCAGGTGACCTGGATCTAAGCAGTAAAAGCAGACACGCTTGCGGCTTGAGCGATCCAGCATAGGTTTACCTTTCTCAGAGGAAAGAACAGGTGACATCACCCTCTCTGTCTGCTCATCTACAAAACTCTGGCGCCTAAACTGACGTGTAGAAGAGAATACTGACCGGTGTGAGAGTGTGAACTCATCCGCTAACACTGCAGCTTCAGAGAGTGATTTTATCTTCTGCACATTTAGGTGAACTACAATGTTCTCTGGAATACAATTTTTTAACTCTTCAAGCAAAATAAGTTCCTGCAGTTGATCAAGACTGGTAACTTTACTAGCCAAGCACCATTTTTCAAGTAGGGTTCTCTTTTCTCGTGCAAACTCAACAAAGGTTTTCAGCAGTAACACAGAGACAGAAAAGCACACAGCAGCACGTAACAACCAACAATATTATATAAATAAACACGGAACGTAACAGTATTAATAGTAGTAATAATAGTATTTGGTATTGACAAACTGTGTGTTCGTGATGGAGATTAGTTTCATTGTTCCGTCATTAGATCAGATGGCGACAAGAGAGTGTCTTTATAAGTGAGTCCGCAGTAAAGACTTTTATATTGAAACAGACTGAAACAAACAAGGAAGTTATTTTTACTTTCTACAACAGCTTGCAAGATGCAGTTAACAAACACACTGATCAGCGCTGTCATCAGAAATCATCCTTAACAGATGAAAGGACAGTACGACAAAGATATCGCTTTCCTCAGCGGACATTCAAACTCATGTTTTATTGTGAATATGAGATTGAGCTGAAGAATGAATGCTGGATCAGATGCAGGTAATCACACTCACTCAGTCAATCTCTCTCTCATAATACTCTACATATAATACAGAGAGCTTTTAATACAGTGATACAACAAGCTTTCAATGAAGCAACTCAACATTCCTTCGTTACTAAAGTTCTAAAGTGACGTTTTCGAATTAGGAACGGATCTTGAGCTCAGCTGTCAAACTGAGATTTGAATCTGTGGCGGAAGGAAGTAGTTCTGCACAAAAGAGGGTTTTAAAAGACACTCCTTGTGTCTTATTTACACACTCGTGCCGTCGAACTGTTGTATAAATGCAGTATATCAGTCAGTAAGTCTGTAAACGGGACGTTAAAGGCCGGAGACGCTGAAGACGAACGAAAATACTGCTCACTGTTCACGATGCTCAAAATATTGGAAGAAAATCTAAATATTGAATTAGGGATGGGGGTTTTATGAATGTATCTCTGAGGGGAACTGACTGTCTTCAGAAAAGTTTAGATGGTATTTTCTTTTCATCTTGCTTTTGTATTGTGCATACTAAAGTAGTATTTCTAGGCGCCGTGCTGCTTTGTTTACAGCAGTAACCAAGGAGACGCAGTATCTGCGGTTCCAGAAGTGCCTCCTGCTGTCAGAGAGTGAATCTGCGTCTCATTCAGTCTGTCTGCTGTTTCTGTTTGAAATTACATCGAATTTAATATAATTTAAATCAGAAACTGCAGCAACTTTGTTTGGATTGTGATTAAAATGCAGTGGTTTCCTCTCATTTTAAATGGCTAGAGTTCGTCCTGTAATAGAGCAAAAAACATCTTGTTCATGTAGTCATATTTTCATTCTATCTTATCTCTTGTTTAAAAAATAAAATAAAATGAATATTAACAATTCGGTATCAGAGTCAGCCCATTTGCTTGCAAAAAATGGCCATGAAAAATCAAGATTGGCGCATCTCTACTGAATTTTGACAGTCAGTGTGAACATTGATGTGTTTCCCAATGTTCTATCCAATGGTGAACATTAAGAGAAGTATTTCAGTAATTCAGTAACTTGTTAACTAATAATTTTGATTATAGTCAAAAGTAGGCTATTAGTACTTCTGTACCAAGTCGATACTGAAATTTTAAAAACATAACAAAACCAGCCGTTCTGCAGCACTGGTAGAACTAAGTACAGACTCAATTCAGAACTCGCTCATATTTATTTCACTTTCCGTGAACAGTGATATGCAATGGCCAATCAGAGGTGTTTTTGTCAGAATCAGCTCATTTTTCACTTGACCATTTTAAAAACTTAATTGAAAAATATTTTAAGAATACAAGTCAATATTTTAAAATATCATATATATTTTTGTTAATATTATTATTAGCATTAATAATGAACTGATTTTTTTTGTTAAATATAGTACTTTTTTTTTTTCTTTGCTTTTTTTTTGCTATGGTACTGATAATGGTTTTGAAAATCATTTGTTCTAATGTATAGCCTAATTAAGAGCTCATATTAAAGAGCTGATTTTATAGGTAAGTCATGGCCATAAACTGTGTTTTTAAAGACTTGAAGAGAGGAATTACTTTAGAGCGTGATCCTTGTCTTTTATTCCAGCTGTAATTAAATTAAAAATGTCCTGGAAAAGTCCTCGAAGTCCTGGAAAATGATCACAGAAAAAGAACCCTGTATGATATATACATTCATTCATTCATCTATTTATAATTCACTCATTCAGCGGTGACTATTATTCGTGTGATACTGCTAAAATACCCAGTGAAACATCTATACAAAGTTTACTGAGCTAAAAGTACGTAGTCAAGTCATAGACTCACAAGCATTCTTAAATGAACTAAACCATTACGAATACCTAAGCTGATCCAAAACAAAAATGACAAGCATATAATTACCTCTCTATATTATCTGTAAGTATTCTATATTATCTCTCTGCATGCTCAATGAGACTCAGAGCTCAATGTTACTACAGCAACGCTCCGACGACACCGCAGAGCGCCAAAGCAAGGAAACTAAATAAATAAATAAAAAATTAACAAAAATACATTTTGGGATAAAAAAAAAAAAACAACCCTAAACGGACTAATCAATGTTAATGGAAATCCTAAATGACTTTGATGAGCTCCTCTAATTTGTCGAGCGTGAGTCAAAGCAGAGGGAGGCCTGACGCCAGGGTGAAACGACCTACTGTCCTGTTTGGCTCTGGTTCTCAGAAAGCAGATGAAGTGAAGTAACAGACAGCCGTGCTTCGGCGTGTGTAGCTTCATTACGGCGGGTCACACACCTGGTTGTCCGGTGCGCTGTGAGCGGGCGCTGACATCCCCGTGTGGCTGAGAGCAGGAATCCTGCCGGGCTGCCCGCGCAGCGTCACCGTGATAGTGGTGGGAACTTTGAGTCCTGCAGACAACACACACACACACCTCCATGTTTCATGGGGACTTTCCATAGACATAATGATTTTTATACTGTACAAACTGTATTTTCTACCCTAACTCTACCCCTAAACACAATGCATACAGAAAACATTCGACACTTTCACATTTAAAAAATAAATAAAAAATAAAAAATTTGTAATTTATAAACTGTTTTCCTCATGAGGACCCTACAAGATCAAAATTGACTGGTATTACTATTCTTACTATTCTGACATAGGAAATACCAGGACTACGTGGACATGCACACACACACACACACACACACTGGTTTCAATGTTTTATGGGGACATTCCATAGACGTAATAACTTGTATACTGTTCAAACAGTAAACACAACCCTAACAGAAAATGTTCTGCATTTTTTTTTTTACATTTTCAAAAAACATCACTATTTATAAGCGGTTTTCCTCATGGGGACCTAAAAATGTACCCACAAGGTCAAAATTTCGGGTATTATTATACTTTTGGGTGCCCTCCAGGACCACACACACACATTACAGGAATCTCGTACTATGAAATATCTTAAAACAAAAAAAAAAATTTCTTTCCCCTAAATCTTATAAATACAGGTTGTTTGTAAACATGTAAGAATGTGAAATACTTATTAAAAAAAATAAATAAATGAGAAAAAATCATGCATCTTATTATTTGCTTATTAATTAGAATAAAACTGACAATGAGAGATCACCATACTTATATTTATATTTAAAATAATATTTGAAGTCTGTTATGTTTTGTCTATAACTTAATGTGATAAAGCACATTTACCATGAACAAGTAATGAATAAATTCATGTTTTACATATGAGGCAGGTGAATGCAACACATAGGAGCGACACAGGTGATAAAATCATAGAATTATTTCTTTTAAATTCACCTCCTATAAAGCCTATAGTCAAAACTAAAAAAACTTACATTTTTGTTTATTTAGGCATTTCATAGTTTATTTGCACTTTTATCTTGAGTCCCGACTCCTATGAAAGAGCGAAACAGGCCATTCTGTTCCCTAAAAATTGTGTGTATAAATCGTGTCCCAAACCAACTTTTTTCGCTACCAACTATTCTCCAGAGGTGGACAAAGTACACAACTCTATTACTGGAGTGAAAGTACAGATACTGCTGGTCAAACATCACTCCATTGCAAGTGAAAGTTGTAAAGACAGATTTTTACTTGAGTTAAAGTACAGAAGTACTTGCTTTTAAAAGTACAAAAAGTAAATTTCCTTTTTTGCGTCAATGCACTGTTTTATTATTGTTGTATATAATACTTGCAAAACCTTTTGGCTCTGAAGCAACTTGCAATACATTACACCTATTGAACACACTGACTAGCTTGTAGTATCTTTGGAATGCAGAGCTTTTAGAATGTTAAAAACCTATAGAACCTATAGAAACGAAACCAGTTGTTGTGAAATTGCTGTAAATACAGACTGATAAAAAAATCAAACCTGCTTTAAAACCCATCAACACAACTGAAGCTGTATAACTTTACAACAGCAACACTGCTTTAACAAGAAAGCAAAACAGCAATAATTATTTGACATCAAAACATTCAAAAATGCTTTCTAATCGCTCTCGAGGTACTTTAATGTCTTACACAGAAAGGTCTGTGCAGTGCTGCTTCAAGTCAAACAACTACTGTGTTTTGTTAAGAGACTCACAACAGTTCTTCTGTGGCTTTATAGGTAATATTTTCATTTACACAATTTTGCAAAATCAGACAATATTGTGTATAATATATACTACAATATTAACTTCTTATTGAATTGTTGTAAATAAATATCACATTTGCAACTGGTCAGTGTGCTGGGAAATCACTTCACATAACTCCACAAGAGTGATTAACTAATAGGCTGTCTTAAATAAATAAATATTAATAATAAAAAAAGTCACGTTTTAGAGAAGAAGAAAAAAATCACCCACTGACTTTCAAAGCAGCTACATACACTGAACAAAATTATAAATGCAACACTTTTGTTTTTGCCCCCATTTTTCATGAGCTGAACTCAAAGATCTAAGACTTTTTCTATGTACACAAAAGGCCTATTTCTCTCAAAAATATTGTTCACAAATCTGTCTAAATCTGTGTTAGTGAGCACTTCTCCTTTGCCTTGCCTCACGCAGTGCAACACATCTCCTTCGCATAGAGTTGATCAGGTTGTTGATTGTGGCCTGTGGGATGTTGGTCCACTCCTCTTCAATGCTGTGCGAAGTTGCTGGATATTAGCAGGAACTGGAACACACTGTCGTATACGCCGATCCAGAGCATGCCAAACGCAATATTTGAGAGAAATAGGCCTTTTGTGTACATAGAAAAAGTCTTAGATCTTTGAGTTCAGCTCATGAAAAATCGGGTCAAAAACAAAAGTGTTGCGTTTATAATTTTGTTCAGTGTAGTAAAGACTTTCTACTTCGAGGACCTTGATAGAAATGTAGTGGAGTGAAACGTACGATATTTGTCTTTCAGATGTAGTGAAGTTAAAGTCATACGTTTCTAGAAAAAATAATACTCAAGTACAGATACTTAAAAAGTGTACTTAAGTACAATAATCAAGTAAATGTACTTTGTTACTGTCCACCTCTGCTTTTGTCTCAAGTACTAATTGCAACAGCCTGCTATCAGTCTACACACTGAGCCAAAGCCAAAAGTTTAATAATAGCCTTTTTAAAATGACCTAATAATAATTAAAAATGCTAAAAAGTTCAGCTCCAAAAGTTTTAGCTCCACCAATATTGAAAGACTTACGAATCTCTGCTGATTTAATTATTTTAAAGCATTTAGTCCATCACATTTCAGCATTTGATCAAAAGATGGTACCACAGAGTATTTTACAGTGGGTTTTTTTTCTCCATGTTGTGTATAATAGATTTTGTAGACAAAAATCAAAGGTCACATACAAATGTCTGTAGGTTTGTGGGATGTGACTGCATTGTGATGAGGTGTCTGCTGGGGTGCGCCAAAAATCCTGCTGCATAATGAGTGCATGAAAAGCAACACCAGTGTACTATACAGTATACTGCATACTGCCTACTATTATATACTACATAAAGGGTACTATCACTATTAAAAATATGCAGTATACTATGTATATGCTATAATAATGCTGTCCATCTAAATGCCATTTAGTTTTCATTGTGAATCGTTAAAATGTCTTAAATCTTGTCAATCAGGTACATCACTAGCTGTTCAGATCAGAATTCTGCTTGCTGCACAGTATACACTGCTTAATAGAGCTGGATTTTTAACACAAATTTCACGATTCGATGTGATTCTCATTCACAAGCTTGCGATTCGATTCGATTCAAAATCTATTATTTTGGATATATATCAGGTACAGTACATGCCAAATTTTCTCAAGGAAAATTTGGAAAATTAGGAAAATCAACTAATGCTGTAAAATATACATGAGACGAGAGTCAGTTGGTACTACATTACTATAATAATGAAGGTTAAAATTGACTGATTTGTTAATTACACTTAATTAAGTTTTTAAAATAATAAAGTTACAATTACATAACATTTCTACTTCAATTAATTTGTTTGAAATATAAACATAATGGTGGCTGTTATAAAAACTTGATGGATTTATTCAAACATAAATTAAACATTGAAGAACGGTAAAATGTATAATATGCTATATGGTACATATATTTAGCAAAATGCCCCTCTCTACAGTTTATTTTTCTATCTGACTAATGAGTAGCTGAAACACAGATTGAGCGATTACATGAGACAGGATACGGCTTGTAAAGTTGTACTCTTTCTTTTAACTTACCTTCGGATGATTAGTCATGTTTATTTTGTGCTGAAACTGGTATTAATGTGGAGGACATCAGTTCACATGCGCCTCGCGCTGCTGCGTCTGTTGAACTGAGGTGCTACAGCAATCTGTCACTCCACATTAAACAGCGCCAAAACGGCATTTATTGTTTGAATACTGCAATACAATGAAAATAATTAGAAATCTGAGACTTTGTTTCATTTTAAAAGCACCAAAGCACAATGCTTATTGCGATTTATTGGATGGGAGGTGCCCTTCAATGTTCCGTCTATTAACTGAAAACAGGCTAGACTAATCGATTCTTGGGATTTAAGAATCGATATCGTTCTGTAAAATGAGAATCGATTAATATAGAGATATCGATATTTTTTACCCAGCCCTACTGCTTAACATTAAAAACTACAGAATATTAGCATACTGTATACAGTCTAGACTTACTATTGCATTTGACCAAACAACTATGGATTAATTATCCATAATTAGTTTTTTGGTTTTGTTATTTATTCGGAATGTATTTACATAATTTAAACTGCTGCAAAGAACACATGCATGCAGTTAGGAGATGAAAACAAAGCAGAATAATAATGACACAAAGAGGTAGGAAAAATGGTTTGCTGTTGGGGATTTAATGAATGTCTTTGTGAGTAGAGCAAGCCTTATGATTTCCAAACTCCTTATCCAAAAAAACAGGTAAACAAATAACAAAAACTGAGAACAGAAGCAAAATGAAAACAGAAAAATGGAACATAAACACAACAGCGAGGTGGTCACACTAAGCATGAATGTTTGGGAATTGATCATGACTGTTATTTTTACAGCACTGCCATATAAATATTCTGGTCCTCTGGACATAACAGCAGTTTGAGTTTAAGGTCGACCCCTAGGGCACTAAAATGAACAACTTGTGTAAAAGTACATTAGTTCGCAAGCTGAAAAACTCTTCAACGGAATCAGCCCGATATTGTAGAAGATCACCCAATAAAGCTCTTTACATGCATTAAAAAAAACGACAAAGTTTATGGTACATATTTACATGCTCAGCTGGATGTTTATTGATCTGTCAGAATGTTTATCAGCTTAGATGCTTCTCATGGACTCGACCTTTGACCTTACAGCTACTCTAGTCCCTACTCATTGCGGACGCCTCTGTTTGGATCGCTGTGTCATCAGCGGTGATGAGGACGTACCCGTGCTCTGACTGGCGACGTGGGCCAGTCCTGGCAGACTATGGGCTAGTTTGGCCAGGCCGCCGTTGGTGAGGAGATGGTGGATAGTTGTGGTTTTGGTCATCCCGGATCCTGTCGACACGACCGGCACCGCCCGCACTAGTGTGCCGCTGCCACCCGGGCTGAGCGAGCTCAACACCTGCCCCTGACACTGGGGCTTCGCTCCGCACACCTGAACACCACCACACACAGACAGGAGCGGTTCAGTGGGAATTATACATCAGGTTTATTATAAAGGAAGCAATAGAGATATTAGAGATGGGCCGGCACCTGTGTGGTGGAGGGGACGCCTGGTGATTTAGTGTTGATCTCCTGCAGACTGAGGCTGAGGCCCTGCAGCAGACTACTGGCAGAAGGAGCTAAACACACACACACACAAAGAGTCAGAGAGGATTCTTTGAATTTTTGGCCTATATCATTGTTTGCTGTGTATCACAATAATCCATCGTGTCATTGCGGTCATGTTTAGACGTACCGCTGTATCAGTGCCCTTATTTGCACATATGAAGAAGACATGATAATGTGTGCATACACGGTGCTGGTTCATGTTTAGAGCACGAGAGAATATGAAATATGTTCACAAAAACTTAAAACACGCTTGCTCCAGTCCAGATATGAACTACGATCCACGCAGTGAGTGTTGTTAAACTCATCACGGCGTTCAGAGCAGAAACGGCTCTCTCATGCGTGCTCCACATGTGGTTACATATTAAATATGTGTCATGTTAACCTGAAAGCGCAGAAGCTCTTTCATAAGATTTGAATTATCCGCTGTAAGATGACCTCATGCGTAACAGTGCATGATGGGATCATAAGAGTACATTCTCATGAATAATTCTGAGAAAAGCTGAGAAAAGCGACTCAATCTAAAAAAATGACTTAGATTTGTACTCTCCAGCCACGGCAGCCGATCACCACTCTAAATTAACGCATATACGCAACTTTTCCATTAATAATAGACAAAATGAGTGCTATTGTTGTTTTAACTGATGTGCAACCTGTACATACTGTATATGCTAACATCTCAAAAACTGTGTTTTAGGGTTTCATGACCCTTTAAACTAGGGGTGCTCCGATTGATCAGCTACCGATCACTATCGGCCGATAATCAAGTTGGGATGATTGATCGGCTACCGATCACTATTTGCCGATAATCACGTTGGGATGATTGATCGGCTACCGATCACTATTGGCCGATAATCAACAGAAGTATTACTATCTTTCAAAAAAAAAAAAGGACTTTTGAATAGTAAATGAGTTGAATGTGATGTTTAATTTTGTTGGAACAAGCTGATCTTGAAGTTAATAATAACTACATGTCATAAATGCAAGTTCATTGTTAAAACTAGTGCTGTGTTCGATACATCGATACGACGATGTATCGTCACAGAGATTTGACGATACGAGTATCGATGCAGCTGGCCCTGTATCGATATTGTGGCACGTGTGCAGCAGTAGACCGCGCTTAATTTGAATACAAGAACAATGTTTAAAATTGAGCAGAAAAGTGCGAGGTTTCTAAAAAATAATGAATAGAGAATAATATATAGGCTATAACTAGGTTTAATCTGGCCGCAGAGGAACACAACTGGGTTGCCTGATATAAAGAGACGTAATCCCCGAAACTTGCGTAATACGAAAATATCTGCTAAATGTGTACTTATCTTTACGCTGCCGTGAGAGGTTTGGCACGACATGCAGCGGCACCGTCTCAGTCTCTGTCCGGCGCGGGTGAAATAATTATATATTTCTTCATTAAATAGCTTATAAAATAATTTGAAAACCTTGTGTGAGACGTAATTTCATGAACAGCGTGAGTGAATCACCGCGCGCGCTCTCGCTGTCTCTCTCAAAATACATGGCTTCAAATCACCACACATCGCGTCTGTCTATAAGCGAGCTGCACGCTGCACAATTGACACAGGAATTGTCACTTGCACAATCGAGGCAGTGTCACATCGTCACTAAAGTT